TCCATTCAAGCTCTTTCATTGATACCCTTTTTTTTTAATCGAGAAGCTATGGAAGAGGTTTTGTGCGGAGATCACTACGGAAATTAACCTTCTTGCTGAGAATTGGAAGTATATTTTAGGGGGTCTCATTTGTCAGGTATGTTGAGGCAAGCAGTGATGGTGCCCTTTTGGTTTGCTTGCAGTTTATGGTGATAATTGATACTGGAGGCATTTTTTCTTAGTATGGTATACACTTACAGGAGATTAGAAACATTGAATTTGTCAGAAGATTCTTGAATTCTGTCTATGTCATGAGTTTTTTTCACTCAATGTTATTTCCAATGAAGCACATTATGCGTAATAAAGAAGTGATTTTTATATTTTTTTCGTGAGAAACCATTTCTCGTATGGAGATTATATTGTGCTGAAAAGATATTGAAATGTTGATTTTTTGTATGCCTTTGATTGCTTCTGCTTCATTTGCTTCTTGGTGGATCTGATTATGAACTCTGGCCAAAAGGTGTTTTTTTTATATATATTTTTTGCCCTTGTTGGGTTATGGTGAATTGGTGATGGTTGGATTGTGGGAGTAGAAAGCACTCATAGATTTATCTACTTTTCCTCTTCTTCTAGTAATAAAAATAATAAAAAGAAATTTGTGTCTGTGTGAAATTTTGATTATAACACCAAGGGCTAATATGGTTTACTGTTGTATTATAAAAAAGTGTTACTATTAGCCGGTTATCATTATTTCAGTCACTATAGTTTTGATTGCTACTCCTTTTGAGCTGGTATTATTATTAACAGGACCTCGAAAAGAAACTTCTGATTGCAACACGTTACCTTTAGTTGTTTTGATTAATGTTACCTTCTATATAATCATCGTTATTAGTTGCTTTGAGATTTGTAGTAAGTAGTTCACCGTTGATTAGTAGTATCCAGTGACTCTTTTTTAACTTCTCCTTTTGCGTGTTCAGTTTCAATACTCTGATTCGTAAAATCTTTCTATATATATTTTTTCGATCAGTATATTCATGGGCTAGCAGCTCGGGGAGTTCATTATTTCCATCGGCCAGGACCAACACTTCAGGATGTTGGCTTCTTTCTTCTCCCGGTAACTGCAAAACAAGCTTTATTTTATATTTTTTTAAATTTTATATCTTTAAGTCGATTTATAAACGAGAGTTATGTTGCGAAAAATCTTGTTGGAACTGCAGGAACTCGGGCAAGACAGAGCCTACATTAGCGAAACAGTGTTTACCTTTGTTTTTCTCTCTTTCGTCTTGGTGAGTTTTTTCATTTTTGCTGTTCAATTTTAATTTCTTTCTTTTTTCTCCCTTAATTTAATTTATCTCGAGATGTTCTAAAAGATTGCGATGCTTACATGCAGTGGACTTTCCATCCTTTCATATTGAAGAACAAGAAGATTTACACAGTCCTTATTTGGTGCAGGGTCTTAGCATTCTTAGTTGTAAGTTTATTTTTATATTTTTTTTTTAATTTTTTTTTCATTTTTGATTGGTAAATAAATATGAACAATTTGCTTAATTCAGGCTTGTCAGTTTCTTCGGATCATAACTTTCTACTCTACTCAGCTTCCCGGTCCTAATTACCATTGCCGAGAGGTATTTTTTATTTATTATTATTATTATTATTTCTTTAAGTCTCCTATATTTCTTTTGCTTTATATTTGCAGACTATTTTATATTGTTCGTTTTTTTCCCTTTCTGCATGATATGTAGGGATCAAAACTCGCCCGATTGCCTCCTCCGGAAAGTATTTTTGAAGTCCTATTAATAGGTTACAATTCTCTTTTGCTCAATTTATACTATTTTCTAATTCTATCAAATTCCTTATATTATTCTTTGATGCCGTGCAGTTCCTAAAGGTGTGCTTTATGGCTGTGGCGACTTAATATTTTCCTCTCACATGATATTTTCTCTAGTCTTTGTGCGTACGTATCATAAATACGGCACTCGAAGGTAAATAAATAAATATCCTAAAATTCAACGGCCATTTTTTGTTTAAATTCTAAAGTATATGTTGTGTCAGTTTTGTGAAGCAGATTGCATGGCTGATTGTTATAATCCAAAGCTTGTTGATTGTGGCTTCGCGAAAGCATTACACAGTCGATGTTATCGTGGCATGGTATATAAATAAATTAGGCAAATATTTTTTTTTACCTAATAAAGAACTTCTTTAAGCCAAAACAAAAATGGAGAAAATCTGATTCTTTCTTTTTTGTTTCATCACAGGTACACGGTTAATTTGGTTGTGTTCTTTATCGACAAAAAGTTGCCAGGTTGGCATTTTTACTGCTTCGATTCTCCATGCAATTTTCTTTTAATTCGTCGATTATTAGTTACGAGACTGATCAATTGAAATGCTTATACATATATATGTATACAGAACTTCCGGATCGTTCTAGTGGCACTGTATTCCTTCCATTGACGAAGGATAACCGGATAAATAAGGAGGAGAATCACAAGCTGCTTAACGGAAATTCTGGAGATTCAGCTGATTGGGTATGAAATTTAGCCTCTTTTTGAATTCTACCCCCGAGATTACCCTAACTACGAAAAAAACTCAATTTTTCTTTTCTTTTTCTTTTTTTTTTCTCAAATTACACCTCGAATAGGGTTTACCTGCCGAGGTTTTTGCAGCTACACGCTCAAATGACCTCAATGGCAATTTATCTTTTTTTTTTGGTTCCATTTTTGTTCGTTTTTTTTTATTATTATTATTATGCAAAACGAAACAATGAGTGTTTTTGTTTGGTTGTTGTCTAATAATCGTATATTTGTCGACTTTTAGCAGAGGCCTAGGACTCAAGTGAATGGCAAGNATGGTGCAGTATGGAATCAAGTGTTGTTCTAATTCCAATTAATCTTCTGTATATTTATTTATTTATTTTAAAAATTTATGCACTTGCATTTCTTCTTTATTATTTATTTATTGTTATGTCTATGTACTTTGTATTTTACCTTTTTCTAGATATCATGGGTTGCCATACCTATATGCTCGTTTGAATTGTTTTTTGTATTTTCATTAAACAGAAATTGTCACATGCTTGGTCAAACGAAATTGACCAAATGTATCTTCTAACTTAACTTAAAAAAAAAAATGACCTATTTTTGAAAATCAAGCCATTTTCATTGGTGGGTTAGATAGATCTCATGGTATCTTGAATCACATGCATTCTAATGTGAAAAATTGAAGACAAAAATGGCCTCTCCATGTGCTAAACAACTCAAGGGACCATACCTGTTGAATTTTGACTCGTCATACTAGATTTTGATTTTTTTTATTTTTTTTTAGAATATATAAACTAAATATTTTTTCATGCTCTCCCAATTAAAATTGGGAGTTTGTTAATTTGGATAAAATGTAAGCTGTAAACCTAATTGGATGATTAATTTGGATAAAATGTAAGCTGTAAACCTAATTTGGGCGGTAAATAGTAATGCGCATTACAAAATGTTTATTTTCCAACAGGCTCTGAACCCCAACCTGTAATATTTATCAATACAGGTTCAATGTGTGCTTTCTCTGCCACCTCATATTGATTGTAGTAATCATTATTTTCCCCCTTTCTGTGGGGTTGATGTATGAAGCTTCATACCAGAAATCATAATTTCATTATTTCGCCCAAAGAATCGTTTCACTCAGACATACTTCATCTATTTTCTTCTTCATTTTTTTATACAAAGTTCATCAATCAAAAAGTTACAAGTTCCTGAGATATATCCAAGATCTCCTCGATTTCTTGATATTCCTCTTCTTGTTCACTATCTTCTCCATCCTCCAACTTGTCTTGTTCGTGCAGTCTCTCCCACTCACCGACTAACCTCTCCCACTCTTCCTTGAGAATCCTTCTCTTCTCACGCTCTTGCCTGCTCAAAACCATCCACACATCTTGGTCTTCGGCTTCATACTTTCTGCTGTATTCCTTCAACTTCTTGGCTATCTCTTCTTCCTTCTCTGGGCTCAACAATGTTGGGGGTCTTGGACGCCACAACAACTGAAAAAATCATATCACATATATATATGTAAAGAAGATTAGGCCTGGCATATGTATACCAATCAAATTAGTACTAACTACTATGTTGATAGATAGCCCTTCAGATATACAACTCACTTGGAAAAAATGATCCCTGAGTATTCTGTAGAGCAGTTGCCCAGAGAAGGACCACACATTGAACCCATTCTCCATCTCATGAACTGATGTAGCGACATACCTACAGAGGTATGCACAAAACAAAAGATTTATTATCATTTAATTTAAACAACAATAAAACATAATATCAAAAACTCTGATTCTATAAAGAAGCAAGCAGGGAAGAAAAGTTCTAAAGCAAAATTGTTTCAATATTTGAATAGGTTTTTTTTTTTATTTTTTTATGTTGCACAGTACAACTATTATTACCTCCCGGTTGGATCCCATTCCACATCAGTCGCCATGAAATGCTCAGTCTCTGCCATTGTCTGAAGCTCTTCAACATTGTAAAATTCCAGTTGCCCATTAAAGCCCTTTAACCCTGCGAGTACAATGAAGCGGCCAGCTGGCGACCAGTAAAGAGCATTTGCCTGCTTGCCTTTCAGAGTAATGAGTTTGGAAACGCGACCAGTGTTGTTACTTCCACTGCGCATCGTGTAGAAACTCACATCAGGCCTCGGGATATCACCATGGATAACTGCAAACCTGTCACCTTTTGGCTCCCACGCAAATGCTATAATCTTGTCATTCTTATTCTCAAGCTCCACAACTTCAATGGGTATGTCCCGTTCTTTGATCCTGAAAAGCTCAAACCCCGTATATGTGCTCTTCTTTGTTTTCGTGTATCGCTCGACTTTAACTGCCAGATAATCTCCATTACTTTGCCAGTACAGTTTACAATCACTAACACTGAAGAGATTCTTTTGCCTCAACTCTTCGTTGCTTGGGATTTGCACAAGACTCACCTGGTAAAGGGGGAAAAAAAAAAAAGAAACATTAAGTACTCACAGTAAAGGACAAGTTGAGAGAAAGACAGACTAGTTGCACTTTAGTTTTGAGCTCACCCTTGCAGGTTGATTTCCTCCACATAGTTCAGGGACAAAAAGCGCAAGAATGGGATCAGTAGGCGACCAGCTGAAGTCAGTCACATTTTCAACCTTTATAGATTTCTTGTCAATAAGAGTGAATGTCTCAGTTTCAAACACTGAGACAACATTTTTTCCAATTCTGGCAAAGTACTTATCATCTCTTCCACCACCCCATCTGGAAATAAAAAAGTTGTCAATCCATCAAAGAGGATCAAAATCTGATTATTAAAGAGCCATCATTACATGACTGTACATCAGGAGAAAAGAAAGTCATGGAATAAAATCAATTTGTATATCACCTGAAGACGGGCCACGACACGCCACTTATGCCTCCAGTTACTCCAACAGAATATTCATCTGCGGTCCCTTTGAAATCCCTCATGACTTTTCCGGTTCTCACGTCAAATATATTTATAACAACCATCTGAGAAGAAAATCTATTTTAATGAAAAAAATAAAAGTAGCACTCTATAACAATAATATTCAAAGCAGAATTAGTTTTACATGAGTATCACGAGGATTGCTTGGCTCATGGCTGCTATAAGTCACCAAAAATCTCTCGCCAGGTGAAAAATCAATCAGTTTAACCTGCAATGCAAACCAAATCAGTAAAGAAAGAAGTATAATGGAAGTGAAGTTGTATGAAACACCCGAGGCCAAATAACAACCTGGGGATGAGCATATCGCATCAGACGATTAAAAGTAGTTGCACCACCCCAAATAGCAACACCTTGCCTGTGCACTGTGGCCAAGTAAGTACCCAATGGTGACCACTGCACAAAACTATCCGTCCAGTTCTGCATTGAAATGAATTAACTTTGCTATATTAAATGTTCCCAATTAACGAAAATACATGTACCTAATGCAAGTACTAAAGTTTCATGCTTGGAGCCACAGAACAAGTACAGCACAAAGAATTCAAATTCACACTTACAGTTCTTCTGTACACAGGATCAGTCTTCAATTGCCTAGCATCATTCCATAACACCTCAGTATCTGAGCCAGCACGTATAACAAATTGATCTCTGGCTTTTTCATCAGTAAGCCATTTTTGCAGATTCTCCTGTAAATTATTGACAAAACACCTTCTACTTAAAATTGTTGATAAGTGAAAGGATATATTTACTCCGAGCGAGAGAGAGAGAGAGAGAGAGAGAGAGAGAGAGAGAGAGCCCACCCCTGGAGTATATGGCTTGGTTTCTGGAGGTGCCCACTCCTCTGGAACTTTCATAAACTTTTCAATGTCGTTAAACATGTTAACAACAAATACATGGGATCTATCCAACTTGTACCCATTTGTCTTTTCCTTTGCTAATTCAGCTTCCTACAGTCCATAGAAAGAAACGTGTTCAACCAATAGGAAACCAACATGGCACAGGAAACCAAAATGACATGTCTTACCTGAGGAGTGTCAAATTCAAGGAAGCCGTATCCTAGGGTTTTCTGAGTGTCGGGGTCGACAGGCATCCAAAGCCCACCCTCCTTAATAACCCCAATTTGACTGTAAATTTTCCGAACTACGCCTTCCAGTTTCTCGAATTTCTCCTTAGGCACCACTGGTAAATTCTGAACAAGAATTATGTTTTCAAAACCTTCCTCTAATGACTGCTCATCTTTCAAATCTTCATCGTCACTAGAAAACAATCCCACGCAACAATCATCATCAATCGACGCAGAAACACAGAAAAGAAAAAAGGAAAAAAAGAAAAAAAGAAAAAAATCAATACAGAATCATCTCGGCGAATCTATACCTGAGGACGCCGAAGTCTTCTCCGGCGGGTAGGTGAATGGTTTCAAGGTCGAGGGAGGATAGGTCGACGTTGAGGCGAGCCATCACGACGGCCATAGCTGATGTAGATTCTTGTAGATGGTGTGGGGGTCTGATGAAGAATATGTATACACGAGGGTTTTGTCAGCATACACGAGGGTTTTGTCGAGTAGTTTATTTATTTCAAAAAGACAAAAATGAAGTGGACAAAAAAAAAAAAAAAAAAAAGGGAGTAGAAAAAAATCAAAAGGACGTATTCCCGTAATACGTTTTTTAAATTAAATTTAATTACAAGAACGTATTCTCGTAATACGTTTTATAATTATATTTGGAAATTAAAATAAATAGTTCCGTTTAAAAGAAAAAGAAACAGAATAAAAAATGATAATTTTAAACCGTATTTCAAAAATACGTTTTATATAACCCCTAAATTGATTTAGGGTTTCAAAAACCGTATTCTGAAAATACGTTTTAAGTTTTTATATATAAAAACGTATACTGAAAATACGTTTTACAATTAAATGCTTCTAAAACGTATTCCGGAAATACGTTTTACAACTAAATATAAAATAATGTTATCTTCTTCTTCTCCATTCATTTGCGCGATTC